GTCGCTAGCTGGGGTGGCAACAGGAGGGGCGAGGCTCTCGTTTGGGGTGGCAACTGCCACCCCATGCCACCCCAGTAGATCCGCCCCTGATCTCCTTTGTTCTGTTCACATTTAAAATTAGGTTATTGTTCCCACACCATGACACAAAGCATGTCATGCTTGCATTTGCAAACTGTGATTTGTTCGAAATTTGTGAATTTATTTTGCAGGGACATTTAATTTCAATTTATATTTCTGCAAATGTGTGCTATTAGTATTTATATGTCTGTAAATGTGTGATATTTATGAGCCCTGTACAGTATGAAGTAACAATCCATCTCCTTTGTTTTTCATGTAGCTTTAGATGATCAAACACAGATCACCACCACCGAAACTCCTTTACCAGAGGTTTCTCCTCCAACTCCAGAGGATAACAAATTCAAACGGAAGGTTACCTTCCAATTGCCTCAAGATCAAGATCTTCTGCTGTCCACTGATAATTATGAGGAGTACCAATCCAAGATGGCTCTTAGTAGAGAGGTTATGTCACTCTTTAAAAAGCAAAAAGAAACATTCTCTCCTCAAATGAAAAGAGCTAAGTTAAGTTCTGGAAGAAGAAGCTTTAGTTCTGGAAGAAGAAGCTTAAGTTCTGGAAGGAGAAAATTTAGTTCTGGAAGGGGAAGCCTTGTTAGAGGAAGAAGGACAAGTTTTAAAAAGAGAAAGCCTAGCACTGGAAAGGGACAGATAAGTCTTATAAAGGCAATGCATTTGCCACTTGCTCATTTGTCTGCAGGATTAACTAGACGGACTAGGAATATCAGAGGCAAACCTCGAGTTTCATTGTCCACCACTTCCAGAAAGCAGCTGAAAGTCCAACCTGAAAGTCCTTCAGGCAGTGCTGATAACAGGCTTCCTCCTTCTCTATCCCTCGGCCCTATCAGCGACAATAGGCCCATTCCTGAGTGGAGGAAGAACCTCTACAAACTGATTGCTCGCAAGGGTTTCCGTTCTTCACGGGCACAAAGGCGGTTTTCTGTAGAGTATCCAGAGGAGCCTTCCGCTGCATCTATACTCTCAGCAAAAATCCCCATGCTTCAACAAGGACAAGCTGAAGAATCCCAACAGGAGAAGCAGGAGATTGAACTGAAAAAGAGCACAGAGCCAACTCGCCAACAACCCACCGAAGGGCAGTTTGCAACAGAACGTCCACAGGAGTCTGCTGGTGCATCTCAGCCTTCAGTAACAACCCCAGAGCTCCAACAGGGTCAAGCTGAAGAATCCCAACAGGAAAAGCAGGAGAATGAATTGAAAAAGAGCACAGAGCCAACTCGCCAACAACCCACCGAAGGGCAGTTTGCAGCAGAGCATCAACAGGAGTCTGCTGGTGCATCTCAGCTTTCAGTAACAACCCCTGAGCTCCAACAGGGTAAAGCTGAAGAATCCCAAAAGGCAAAACAGAAGATCCAATTGAAAAAGAGCACAGAGCTAACCCACCGACAACCTACCAAAGAGCAGTTTGCTGCAGATCATCCACAGCAATCTGCCCGTGCGTCCCGACCCCCTGTAACCACTCCCATGGACCGAAAGCAGAAACTGGAGATCCAATTGAAAAAGAGCACAGAGCCAACCTACCAACAACCTACTGAAGGGCAGTTTGCTGCAGATCATCCAGGGCAACCTCCCAATCCATTAGAATCTTTAACAGTCAAACCCATTAACCCAAAGCCTCGACCATGTTCGACACAGGAGTTCAAATTGATGAAGAGAACAGAGCCAACCCAACAACAACTTATCACAGAGCAGTTTGCTGCAGAGCATCCACAGGCTTTTACCCATGCATCCCAACCTTCCACCCCCATGCTCCAAAAGGGTCAATCTGAAGCATTCTTAAGGGTGGGGCAGGAGATCAAATTGAAAAAGAGCACAGAGCCAACCCACCAAAGGTCAAGTTTATATGGAGAATCCACAGGAGCCTCCCCATATGCAGAAGTCACCTCATACGCAGGAGCTTCCCCATATGCAGGAGTTTCCCCATATACAGGAGACTCCCCATCCACAGATGATTCCTCACATACAGGAGCTCCCCCTTACACAGGAGCCCCCCCATACACAGGGTCAGTCCCTTATACAGGAGCTCCACCATATACAGGGTCAGTCCCTTATACAGGAGCTCCACCATATACAGTAGCTGCCCCACATCCAGGAACTGCCCCATACACAGGACCCCCCACATACACAGGAGCTACACCATATACAGGAGCTACACAATACACAGGAGTCCCCCCATATACAAGTGCTCCCCCATATGCAGGAGTTCCCCCATATACAGGAGCTCCTCCTTACACAGGAGCCCCCCCATACACAGGGTCACTCCCTTATACAGGAGCTCCACCATATACAGGAGCTGCCCCACATCCAGGAACTGCCCCATACCCAGGAACTGCCCCATATACAAGAGCTACACCATATCCAGGAGCCCCTCCATATCCAGGAGCCCCCACATATCCAGGAGCTGCCCCATATCCAGGACCCCCTCCATATCCAGGAGCCCCCACATATCCAAGAGCTGCCCCATATCCATGTGGCCACCCTTATTCCCGTGCCATTAATCCATTTCACCTCCAG